AGGGCCCAGACTGAAGAGGTTGGCAGAGGATAAAAGACAAGAGGAGCTTTCTTCAACTTTACAAAGACAGACATTGGAAAGGAATCATTGTGAAGACTTCCAGAAAAAGATGGAATAGGACAGCAAGGAGCAAACCCTCCTCCCAAAAATACATAAAAGAAGAAGTTACAGCAAATATAACTAAACCTGAAAACAACCTGAATACTGCAGAACAGACACTCTGCACCTAAGAAAGAAGAGAAGACCACACAGAAAAGGGTAAAGTGTCAAAGCTGAGATCAAGCAGGACCCAAGCCTCCTGCAACCCTACCCTATAAGCAAGAGAAAGAGGAATGGAGCAGGTAAGGAGTGTGAGCCCAGGAGCACACCTGGCCCTGGAGATATGCTCCAGAAGTACAAGCCCATATTATATTGGGTTCTGATCTTAGTAGGGCTGGACCCCAGGGACAGGTAGTACACTCTGGGAGGCTGAGCCTTCATCCAGTGTAGAGGACGGGCATGTTCTACCTTTCCTGAGGCCCAAAGCAGAGGTGGCAGTTTGAAAGACTTGCCAGCATTGGGAGGGGATACCAGAGGGGAGAGGTTTGGACAGAACTCTCTCCTCAAAAGAAAGGGTAGGTGGAAGATACCTCCCCGGTTCTTCCTCAGCCCAGTAGATTGGGAACTCTTGGGAGCCCAACACATCATCCCCCTTGTGGGCAATGCAGCCCCAAGGCTCCTCCCCAAGTGTGCTGTTGGGAGCCAACCCACTTGGCCCAGTGGCAGCATCAGAATTAGCTGCCTGGCAGGCAGAGGGAGACTCTCCCAGCTTCCTTGGCTCTGTTTCAGCTCAACTGGTGAGGTGCCTGCAGGATCCAGACCCAAGAGGTCCTTCCTCCCTGTGGGTATCCAAACCCAGAGCTGCGTGTCTGGCCAGGGCACATGGGTCCGCCCACCCCAGTATCCCTGCAGTCCTCCCACTGCTGCAGGCCCGGCAGGGGGTTACCCCACCACAGCTCAACAGAGATTCCTGAGCTGATCACAAGGGCAGCAGCTCAAGCAAACTGCCCACCCAAACTCAGACCCCTACAGCAGCCAGACAGAAAGGCCCCACCCACCACACACCAACAGCTGGGGCCCCCACAAAATAGAACCAGGCACAAGAGAGTAAAGAATCTTGAGCTTCTGGGTACCATAGAATGTTTTTAATTTTTTAATGAAGTAAAGGAGGTTTAAAATTCTTCCTCCCTTATTAAGAATTTTGATAGGGATAAAGTTCTCAAATAAATTATGGTAAAGGAGACTAAAGGAAAAAGAAAATTTAGATTTAAAAAAGCATATAATACAAGTAATAAGGAAGAAAAAAATTCATGGTAGTAAAAATAAGTATGTTAGGCTCTGGGAGTTCTGAAGGTAAATAGGTCATTATTCCTGGCCCCTGGCATAGTCGTTACAAATTTGGACTAGAGCTGGATAAACCTGGACTCAAATCTTGGCTTTACCAGTTAGCTGGGTGATGTTCAGTAAATTGTCTCTCCTGAGAGATTGAGATAATAATGTCATGACATTATTTCTTATCTCAGGGATAAAAATCAATACTGTAAGGACTTCAGTTGGTAGAGAGCTTTGGAAAGCATTTACTAAATAAGAGATGTCATAACTATCATTTTAAGGATTTAAAATCCAGTGGGAAGAAAAATAGAAGTAGAATATGGTATAGAGAATATCTATAATAGAACTAAACATGTTGTAAATGCTCTGGGGAGAAAAAGCTTAATTCCAGCTGGTGAAAATGGCAACGGTTTCCTGGGGTCATGTCATTTACTTTAGCCTTGAATTTCCTTAGTGATTAGGGGAAAATTTGTCCTTAGGGAGGGCAAGTAAGGACACTGAGAACAAATCATAGGTTGGGTGGAGAATAAGAGGACTGGAGAAAGCATCATTTGAATACGCCATGTATACAAAGACACATATGTATTTGGGGATGGGGAGGAAGATGATGGAAAATTTGGTAACTGGTAAGTAGACTCTTTAGTCAGGAACAGGTTAATGTGCTGGTGTGGTGAGAAGGAACTGAGAAAGCAAGCATTAGAAGATGGAACAGTAAGAATAATGGGGATTAAAGTTAGGGTTGAATCACAGACAACCTGCAATGTCATGCCAAGGACTTTGTCTTTCTTCTCTAGTATAACAGGCAAAGAAGTCACAGAGGAAAAAGGTTGAAACAAATAAGCACTCGTTAGCTCCCAGGACATTTCGTCTTGTTGCCCCAAATTGTAAAATCTGCTTCTCCCCAGATAAGTCTAATCAATCTATCTCATTCCTCATTCCTCACAGAAATCCACTAATTCTCTGAACCAAAGCTAAAAATAGTTCTATGTTGCTAATGGACAGGCCATAATAAGTAAGCAAGGGGGGTTAGGGTAAACAGGCAGGAAGATAGTTTCTGCTTATTTTTTTACTAAAAACAAACAAGCAAAAACAGATCCAGACAAGATGTAAACATTAAATATATTAAAAAATAGATAAAAAACATTTTAAAGGTAGGGGCTCTCTCCTTCTTGTGTGAAAGAGTGTATGCAAGATGTTTAAAACAAACTACTTCATAAACTTTGCAAGAATTAAAGGTGGAAATGAGTCACATTGCCATCAAACTAGTTTTTATTATTGCCAAAAGCATAAACATCAGGATGGAAAATAAAATCTTAGGGAGGGCAAGTAAGGACACTGAGAACAAATCCTAGCAACTACCTCACTGTCTCCAAAGACAGCTCTGAACAACCCCACTCCTGCCTCTGAACACATTCCACTTCATGAGCTTCTGCTTGCCCCTGTTGACCAGGGGAAGGGTTTGTGAGTACTTTTATCTATAGATGGTGGAGGGAACAACATTCCAGTGAGTTTGGAACTTTGTTGTTAAGGAGGCCTGGCAGTTTCCATCTCTCCTGTCTTGGAGCTCTTGGATTGCCATGTGAGAAATCCAGGCTACCTTGCTGGACAGAGAAGCCACACGAAGGGGCCCTAAGAGATTAGGTACCACATGGAGAGAGTGAAGCAGCAGCAGCATGGAGACCTCAAACACCCAGTCCTGAGCCCACAGAGGCACCATTTGATTACTACAGTGTGGGAGACCACAAATGAAAACACTACAGAAATGGCCTTGCTGACCCCCAGCCAACCCATAGAATCATGTAACATGATAAAATGTTTGCTATGATTTGTGATGGCATGTTAGGCAGCAATACTTAACCAGAACAATGAATATGTTGACCTATGAAAACACATGGAGTTTTCACACCTCTGGAATACAGCAGTTCTCTGCAAGCTAGAAATATCCCTTTACTCTGAAGAAAAAGTATCAGTAATCCCCCATGCTTTTTTATAGCTCACTGATGGCAATGAGGTAGAAATACAAGTAGGATTGTAAGAAAAAAATATAAGATGCTTGGTTAAATTTGAATTTCAGATAAAGGCAACTATTTTTCAAAATAATTATGTCCCATGCAGTATTTGGGGCTTATGCACACACTAAAATAGCTTTGTTGTTCATCCATTTAAATTTAACTGGGAATCCTGTGCTTTTATTTGCTAAATTTGGTGATCCTATATACAAGAGACTGCTTTATCTTGACCTTTCCTTATTTTTTTTAAAAAAGAGAATAGATTCTAAAAGCTTTGGAGTATAAATGTAGATTTAATCTTTTTGCCTGACTTTGTTAAAGGCAGTATAGAGGGATGAGACAGGAATGGAAGACTTAATCGTTGACAGTTAATAGAAACAACTTTTCCAAGTCCTGGGAAGAGCAGACAGGGAAGAAGACCAATAGAAATCATGCAACAAAGAGGGAGGGTGGCCCTAAAGGTAGGAGTGCCTGAGTTGGGTGTAGATTATGAAACCCTGAAGGTCTGATGTCCCTTTCTCCTTAGGGAGGTCACCTCACCACACTGGCCTGCTTTCTCATCTGCAGCATTAAGACAGGTGCTAAGTTCCTTCCAACTCTTAATATTCTATAATTCTAAGTGCTGACATAGAAATAGAATTTGCATTAAAGCCATAATGTTGAGGAACTGGAATTCTCCCAGCCTGCAAAATTATGTTTTTACACAGCTAATATTAACTGGCCAGGGATCCCCATTTATTTCATTTCCAAATCTACTTCTGAATTTAAAGATTGCTCAGGTCATTTTACCAAATTTTCCCATTAAACTACAATAATATATTGCATTAAAGGCTTATGGTTGAAAAGCTTTTGCCTGTCTTTTTATGAGTTAATAGTGACCAAGTTAAATTTGTAAATTGAAAAAAACACTGCTCATTAAACAGTATAAAGGAATGGAAAGCAAAGGTCTTTGAAAATAGCCAAGTCTTCAAATTTCTGGTGGGGGGGCAGGAGGGTTATTAACTTATGACATAGTACTGGAATTCTAAATCATTTAATCAAATCCTTTCTATTCCTATATTTCTGATGACTTATGTTTAAAAAGTAGCCTCAACCTAAACAGAAACTAATTTTGGAAGCATACTAAAAAGAATCAGAAAGGGAAACTGGCATGGTCTTTGAATGACTAGTTGTTTGCTATACACATTTGGGTGATAAACTCAGTTTTTAATGTAATAGAATCAATTGATCAACATTCTCTAAAAACCTATTATGTAGCAGGCACTGATAGGCATTTCATTTAATCCTCACAGCCCTATTATGTATAATCAATTTCATTTTATAGGCTCAGAGAGTCTCAGAAAGATGAAATCTGTACCCAAGTTCACACAGCTGGTAAGGGCACAGCCAGTTATTTGAATTTAACTCTGCCTGATATTAAGTCACACTCATTTTCTCCTACTTTATGTTTAGCACAAAAACAGCTAAGATATGGAAATGTGGCAAGTATGTATTTATAGTTCAATTGTATTCTAAATTAATTTTAAAAGAACAAAATCAAGAAATAAATATTTCAGTGATGGTAAAAAGGTACATCTTGCATGGTGTTTTTCTGGTTTCCATGTCTCCCTCTTTTCTCACCTGTCTGCGAAGGTCTCTTGTCTTCTTGCACATGTTCTCTATTGCAATATTCAGGGTATTACTCCTTTCCTTTTTTCCAGTCTAAAATAGAGGGGAAAAAATGGCATAAGCAACAGAATCTAACTATTTTTTATCACTTAGCAATTTGCTTTCTAAATTTCCTGAAAATAGCAGCTTGAAAATTCAAGAATAGGTTTCAAAACTGCTATGATATTGCACATGATTCATGAGCACTTCACTTAAAAGTAAGTAGAATGGTGATTAAAGCTCACATTATTTTCTTCTTTAAACTTCTGTACTATTTCTGATACAGTGTTGGTTTGCATTCAGTGTGGCAGTAGACAGAGCATTATCTCCAAGAAACTCTGATCTTCATTCTTAACAAGTCGACTTTTTAACCTCTAAGCATGCAATTAGCTTAAAAGCATTAGATGCCCAATTTGTCAACTTCTGTGGGAGTTTCTAAAGTCATTTTCATGGTGTACTGTGTAAGTTATGCAGAGCCATATTGGAGTTTTGCTAAACACTAAATAAAATATGCAGTGTAAATTCACACAATTTGCAAAAGTTGACCACAATTTTAGCTGACAATACTCCAAGAACAAATTGTTTCAAGTAAGAACTGGATGCCTTTTTGGCTCTTAAAGATAATTTGTGCAATAACTTTCCATTCTTTAAACAGAACAGTTCTCTGTTATATTCTTAACCTAAATCTTTAGGCTATTAAGCACATGGAGAGTCACCTTGGTTGGTATTTTCTACATATTACTTTTGTGGGAGACAACTGAGTTGAATCTAATTATACTTTTTTCAGTGGTACCTTATATAAAAGAAAATGAAAAAAATCATTATGTGTTTCACCTCTAGGAAAACTGCTACTATTTAAATTAATAAACTGCAAAGGCTCTTGAGAGGAGACCTTGAAAATTAGGAAGGTAAGTTTAAGCAACTGATAACTGAGGGAATTTACAGCATGGACTCCATAAAGAAGGAGGTGGAGGCAAAGGGCAAGTCCTAAGGCAGCATGCCATGCACTACCTGCAGTGACTACACTCATGCATAAATCCATACCCTCCAATGGAAAGACTCCTTTACAAAAGAGTTCAAAATGATCTATATCCCTATACTGCCTTTTTATTCCTATTTTCTGCCACATGATCTCAAGTACTATCTTTACATAACAATATCACTGTACATTTCTATTTCTTTCTCCAAGTTCTTACATATAATGTGACACTTCAGCAAATATTTCCCAAAATGACCCTCTGTTAAAATTCTACCTTTTCCTCAATGGTTTCCATGAAGAGTTCCCCCCAGCAACTCCACTCAAAAGTAAACTCCAACCTCTCCTAGTCCCAATAGCATTTAAAAAATTCCCCAATATACTCATTTATTTTCTGTGAGTGTTCTTCACCCTTATAATACCATTAGAATATTGATTTTGGCAAGTGTATCATAATTTTTTTTCTGGTCCTGAAAGGAATGTGCATAGGACTTATTGAATGCAGTTGACTAGTTCGTAAATGAATAACTTGATTTAAAAAACAATATAGTTTTATTAGGGGCCTATTATATGCCAGTAAGGCATCATATTAGAATCTGGCAATTGTAGGATCTATCCATCAAAGCACAGCTGCTATTCTGGATTAGCTGAGGTTGCTGGTACCCATCTAAGCCTAAATTAGACCTAGATTTCCTAGCAGCAGTGCAGTGTTACTGACATTTAAGATGAGAAAAATAACCATTATTTGGGACCACCTTATATACCACAAGTTGTTTGGTATCCATGGAATCCTGTCTACTGAATTCCAGTAACAACTTCCAGGTACTATGATAGCAAAAAATTAGCCCCACACATTTCCATATGCCTCCTACACGGAAACACAGCAGAGTGTGTTGCGCTGGGAGGAGGGGGTTCCTCACTTCAGGCAAGTTCACTATGAATTTGGTAAGACTGAATAATGACAACGGAACATTGGAGGTAAAAAGGTGCTGACACCAAGGTTTATTCTCATGGCAGTAGGTTGAGCGCTAGACTCCCATCTGCCCATTTCAGTTTCTGGCCCTGGTTCCAGGCCCTGCTCATCACATACTCCCTGCTGTTCTTAGCACTGGGTTCTGCTCTCACCTCTCTCCTGCTTCCCTCTCTCTAGGCTCCCTTCTCTCCTCTTAGTCAGGGGATTCTTTGGCTTCTCTTCTTAAAGCAATATCGACAATAAACAGTTTACTGCCAAGGAGTATGCAAGCAGGCTAAATACTACATCATTGCATGTATACAATGGGTGATATTATGATCATATGAGAATCCTGGCCATAAAACTTCTATTTTCCCTACAGAGGGCTACCAAGTTCTCTACCATATTTTCTTTTGGGTAATGTGTATGCAGTGCATGCTTAATAGAGGCTATATCTAGTGAAAAAAGTAGGGAGAAGAGTGGGGGAGAAATAGGAATAAGAAATAAAGTTCTGGATGCCAGGACAATAAAGGCAGTGTTGGCAATTACCCAGATCAAAGTTGTGGCTATTGTCACAGCTCCTACCCAGTATCCCCCATGGCAGCAGTGGAGAATTGTGAAAAGTTAATGCAGATATATGTAAGGCAATGGCATGAACAGATATACAATGGGTTATAAGATAGTTTCTCATTTTACCCTGGAGTCTAGCCTTTATTCTCCAGTTTCATGCAGTGTTAGCTCTTGATTGTCTCTTTCTACTTCATGAAAGCAGAGATAGTTAAAAGGGTCAGGAATGGCACAGGCGAAGAGATACCTTTTTCTCCCACCCCATACACACAGGGAATCAGAAATAATATGAGACTCCAGTTGTGTTGGCCATACACACTCACTAGTTCCTGTGATGAGATTCATCAGAACAACTAAAAGATGTCAACCTTCTCAGAGCTAGCAGCAGTGGCATGCAAAACTTTAATAAAGGTTGACAGGAGGTGACAGCATGACGAGATTCAGTGAGGGCTATAAAGATGATTTCCTAATTTCTAATCAGAACTTAACCTTAGTTTAAAATGTTTCATTGTGTGAAAGACATTTTTTTGTTCTCTAGCTAATAATAAACAGTCCCTATCATTACAGGAAGTTTAAAGTTTTCCTTTCTTTTCTCCCTGTCCCTGTTTCCCCCTCCCCTCCTTTTTCTTTTTCACCTCTTGCTTTTTATTGGGTCCTTGCTCCATTTATCCAGATTTATTTGGCTTTTGTCAAGCCATTTTATACCTCTTTATCCCTTTTGCATGGCATAAAAATAAATAAAGCAAGGAGAAATAGCCCCATCCTACTTAAAAGCCCTTATTCCTTCTGTTCTCAAAGCCTTAACAAATCATCAGGCAATGAGCTAGGACTGGAGGTGAATTGTATGTGCTAAAGCAAGGGACAGAAAGGGCACAATATTAAAGCATAACTACAGATAACATCCAGATCCTGCCTACACTCCAGGGGCTAAGGAGAGAGGATGCTCTTTAATGGAAGGCTTGACAGGAACCATCATTAAGTCAGGCATGGCCCTGCTAATGGAAAAGGTACAACTTACAGAGATACAACTTCCCCAAAAATGGGGAAAAACACCGAGAAAGCCCAGCACAGATCAGCACTGTACAGGGAAAGCAATCATATTCTTCATCTGCACATAAACTGCCAGGAAACACCTTATTGAAAAGAACAGTTCTGAAATTTCATTGAAAGTATGACTGTATGATATAAATACTGGCCCAATGTGATCCAGGCTTACAGTCTTAACTATGAGTCTTCCCATCAATTCTGCCTCATTGCTGCTCCATGCAGTAATTGCACTCTCTCGTGGTTCCCTTAAAGCTGCCTACACATTTTTAAAAGTTTCTATATAAATAAACTCTCTTTGAATTATCCTAATTTGATTGAGTATTCCATCTGTTTCCTGTTGAGATGCTGCTGGGCAGAACTTTCAAACACTGTGTTGTCCAATATGATAGTCATTAGTCAAATGTGGCTTTTTAAATTTAAATGTAAATTAATTAAAATAACATTAAAAATTCAATTTCTCAGCTTCTTAAAGTGAGTAATAGTCACATGTGTCTAGTGGCTACTATACCGTACAGAACAGATATAGAACATTCCCCTCATCACAGAAAGATGTATCAGACAGCACTGTTCTAAAACATGTCTTTGTTTATTCAAATGCATAATGAGTTCCTACTTTTACCCAAGTCACCTTTTATTTGAGAATAAAATAGTGAGCAAGAAACAAACAAAAAATATTAACCCTCAAGGTGTTTACTATAGTAAAGAAACTGTAGGTCTAATTATGTCCCTTATTTGTTCTAAATCCCTTCACACTATTCCCATTGTCAATGGAATTAAGAACAAACTCTTGATGTTGGTATTCAAGTCTGCTTATGATCTACCCACATATTTATTCATCTATCATTAACAAGATACCTTAATGGTAATAATAATAATAAAGGGAGAAATGTGGGATCCACATATAAATCAAGTATAAAAATCAAACAAATATTCATATTTGACCTGATTGTTTATAATTCATAATGCATGATCAAAACCGAAAGTTTCTGTGATGACTGCCCTTGTACTGTTCACCATGTAAGAACTTATTCACTATGTAAGAATTCGTTCACCATGTAAGAACTTGTTCGTTATGCTTCAGAAGATCGGAGACTGACGAGAATTAGGCTTGAGATGGATTAATGATTGTGCACTGAGCATTGATCCCCCTATACAGAATTTTATTGTTGTTAACAACCATTTGATCAATAAATATGAGAGATGCCCTCTCAAAAAAAAAAAAAAGATACTTTAATGGGTCCTTTGGTTTCTAGGCAATACGAATACAACTCAGGAACTCTGCTTATGTAAAAATCTTTGCTTTGTTACTTATCTCCTACTTTCTGATTATGGACTTCTTTCAAGACTCAACTCAATTACTAACCTTTACATGGAAACTTTTTTTAACTTCTGACTTAGAATTAATCACTTTTTTCATGATATTTTCTTATATTTTTACCTTTTTTATAACACTTGGTTAGATAAACAGTTCAATGTGGGATTAATGGGCTTAATATATAAATCAAGTAATAT